TATCCATAGTAGTTATACTAGTTTACATTCCTACCAACAGTGTAGAAGGGTTCATTTTCCCCTAAATCTCCACCAGCATTTGTTGTTCTTTGAGTTCGTGCTGATAGTAAGATTTCTATCTTTGTGGAGTAAGGTAGAATCTCAGTGTTGTTTTGATTTGCATTTCTATAATGGTGAAATATGCTGAACATTTTTCATTCATTTATTGGCCATTTGTACTTCTCTTAAAAGTGTCTATTCATTTCAATTGCCCGTTTTTTGATTGGGCCTTTTATTTTGGGGGGATATAATTGTTTTGAGTTTTTTGGTATATTCTAGATATTAATACTCTATCCAAGGAGTAGATGCCACTCTTCCCCCATTGCATAAATTTTCTCTTCACTCTGTTGATTGGTTCCTTTGCTTTGCAGAAGCTTTTTAATTTGATATAATCCCATTTGTTGATTCTTGGTGCTACTTTTTATATGAGTGGGGTTCTGCTGCCTTAGGTTGAAGTACTAGTGGTGATGGAAGTAATGTGGGCTAAAACCCATTCTGTTCACTGGGCACAGACTTCTTTTCCTGGTACGAGGGTAGTTCTTGAACTCTATACGTGAGCATGGCCTGATGACACCTGTGCTACCCTGTTGCAGTGTGCAACCGCAGGTGGCATAGAGGATAAAAAAGATGAGACTTAGTTCAGTTGCTGAGAGGCCCAGAGGGTTATTTTCACCCGAGGATGCTCAGCATTTGGGAGACTCCCAGGAAAAAGAGAGCCCCAGAGCTGAGAACTTATTTAGAATATCAGTGTAAGAGTAAAAAGCAGGAGAAAAGCTGTTTGGGTGAGGAGCTGTCTCAAGGCTAAGTAGTTTTTCTTGGGGAAAGGAGAAGGACAATGGTCAGACACACCATGCTTCACTAATCTAAACTTCTTCTTGTTTAACCATTTGATTCTCACATAACCTGTGTACTTTTGCCCCACAGCTTAATTATTAACTTCTCACGGAGCCTGTGTGCTTGTACCCTGCAATTTAATTATTAACTTCTCACAGAGCCTGTGTGCTTGTACCCTGCAATTTAATTATTAACTTCTCACAGAGCCTGTGTGCTTGTGCCCTGCAATTTAATTATGAAATTATTAACTTCTCACAGAGCCTGTGTACTTTCGCCCCACAGCTTAATTATTTACTTCTGGCAGAGCCTGTGTGCTTTTGACCCACAGTTTAATTATTTGTGTGTGTTTGCCCTGCATTTTAACCATTCACTCCTCATACAGCCTATGTCCTTTTGTTCCACAGTTTAACCACTCACTCTTTGGCCAAGTCCAGCACTACTCAATGCTGTAGAATGAGTTGTGGAGATAATCCATTGTCCTCAATGGCACAAGTGCCTGCCTGGCAAGCGCAAGGTCCCGAGTTCGATACCCGGTACCAAAAGGAAAATCCATTGTCCTAAGACCACTGTTAAACTGGGAAGCACCTGAGTCTCCCTGCTGCGGAGGCCTACACAGCTTCAGGTATTTCCCAAACCTGCTCCAAGGCTGGAACTGTTGCAGCAAAATCTCGAGTCTGCCCCACAGGCGCACAGGTCTCCACCTAATGCCAGAGCCCAACTAGAGTCTGCCTGTGTAAGTTCTGGTCTCGGTGTAGGGCCTTTGGTTTTCACTATGTGCTTTGTCTCACCACAGTGGGCTTGGCACTGGTCTCTGAGACACAGTGCTGTGCTAGCCTTTGTGTCCTGGTCCTCTCCGTGTGGAGTTGCTGTTCTCTGTGGCATCTGATGTTGAGGGAATAGTGGTGAAGGGGGCCTAACACAGCTCTGGTTTGTGTCTCAGTCTGTGTATGCTGGCTTGGTGATAAGAGTCATGGAACTTTCCCCAGAACTGTTTTTTTTTTGCCATGGCAGGCCTGGTGCTGGGTTTCATTTCTAAGACTTGGATTTCTCTGTCCCACCCCCTATTGGGAGGCACTGTTTTCCATACTGGGCTTCTAGGAGTTGCGGGAGGGAAGTTGCATTCTGCTGCTTACTTACAAAATCTTTTTGCTTTGTTACACAAAAATAAGCATTATGATACTCTATCTGATAACCTTATGTCTGTGTTTGTAGTTTGTTGCATACATAGCTGTTCAACCTAGTTTGTCAGTGGGGAAGAATTCACAGAAGAACTTATTTTGCAGCAATCTTGCACCACCTCTTTTGTTCTTTTTTTTTTTTTTTAGTTACTTTATTATCACATGACAATTATGGTAGAAAAAAGATCATCAAAATATATCAATAAGATATGTAAAAGATAACACTATTCTAACAGTATGGTACAGTTTTGATTACACACAAACACTACTGCATGAAATATTTTTTATTATAACATATTCGTACTTAAATTGCAGAAGTTTTCAACTTTAATATAAGAGGGATATGATAACAATAAAAAACCGAAGTCAGATAATGACCATTTTTTAAGTTAGAAAAGAAGTTTGAGTGCCTAATATATACCAGGGATTTTTTGAATGGTGTTGTCACATGATATGCAGGGAAGGTAATGTGACCACGGGTAAGGAAGGACTCAGCCTCAAAATTGTCCAGTCCAGAGCTTATAGGACAATTTAATTCACAAAAGCTTCAGTGGTCTGTAATTTGTGGTAGAGAAGAAATTTTAAGAGATAGGATTTTTTCCACAGTAGAAAAAAATTCTTATCTTTTCCTTTGAATGTTAAGCAATTTATTGCATGTGTGTAAGTATCTTTTGCTCAGTAAAAGAAATGTGCTTATCTCCTCTTGAATTATCAGTGATTTGTTGCATGTTTGTAAGTACTGTTTTCAGAGGTCAATGTATGAGTCTTCCTTCCATGTATAAGGTTTTCTTCTCACCTTTGAACTTTTGAAGAGTCTTTTATTACAGAGTACCCTAAAGCTGAAAGACCATCTGCAGTAGTTTTTTTGTAGAGTTTTACTGAAACAATATTAAACAAATTTAAAAGAAATGTGGACTAACACTTTTTCATGGATAAATTTCAGGATATGCAATTATAGACAATCGTATCTTTTCACGTTTAGGCTGGTGCATAATTTGTGAAAGCAAATCGAATTGACATACAGACTCAATTCACAAATTGGACATTAGTAATTAAATTATGTTTCTGTGCAGAAAAAATTTTACATATATTTTTGTTCAGTCCTGAAAAATATTTTCTTAAGTCCATAAAATTTGCCTTGCTTTATCCACTTACCTATGTATCTTTTCTTTCTGTGTATGTTTGTCTTCTACTTACACAAGCTTCTAAACCTCTGGATCTCAGAGGTATAAAAGTTAATGTCACTAGTATTAACAACGTCACTAGGATTATATATAGTGCAAAATTATATTTTATTAAAAATTATGTAACAATTTTACATAATTTTATTGGATAGGATAACTACATATGTATTTGAACTGCATCAATACATTTTTCTAATCAGATGTTCTTTGTAATGCTAACTCCTCCTATGACAAAAATGTGTTCATTCTCTTCTATCTTTCAACACTGCAATTTTTGTGACTTTCTCAGTGCTATCCACAATATTGCCATTTTCTTAGGGTTTAAAACTTAAAATCATGAGTTACTGTTTACCTCTCCTTTTTTCCCCCTCACATTCTAGAAGACTTACACTGAGTCACTCATACTTGGAATTCTCCCATGTATTTGCTGTTACCTGTTGACCCTCTCTAAAAGCTCCTCTCTCTTGTTCATAATCAAGACTTTATGTTGGGACCTCAGTAATCATCATCTGCATTGTCTTTTTTCCACTTTATTACTCATCTTTTAGGGATAAATTCTCCAGCTAAGTAAATTATTGAAGCATCCCATTCACCTTTTTATTTTTTGTTGCTTAGCATCAAGAACTTTCAATAGTTGTATTCTCCATTTTCTACTGCAGCACTATTTTGCTTAACTGTGTACCATAACTTTTGGTGCATTGTGTTTCAATTTTAGATTTATCTCTAAATAGTTTTTCAATTTTCTTTTCAATTTGTTTTTGATCCTTTGAGTTTTCAGGAGTATCATGTTTAATCTTCATGTATTTTTTATCTAATTTTTTTGAAGATTTTTCTTGTCATTGATTTATTTATACATTTATGCTTTCAGGGACATAAAAGATACTTGATGTAACCTATATCTTCTTAAATTTAGTGTTATGGTTTGTGTCTGGATGTCCTCCCAAAGCCTCACACAGTCGTGGGTGCAGGTTTTTAGAGTTTATAATTGATTCGTGGGTATGAGCACTACACCCGCCCTGGGGCAGATAGTTTGCATATGTAAGGGGGAGAAAGAGACTGCTTGCCACCACTCCCCCGTTTTTGCTGTTGTTGGTTTGCTGTTTTCTGCCACCATGAACTGTTGCCTTCTGCCATGTGCCACTCTGCCTTGAAGCTAGCCAAGTAGGGACTGAGACCTCTACAAACTGTAAGCTAAATAAACCTTTCCTTCTTTAATCCTGGGTGTCAGGTATTTTGTCTCAGCAATGAAAGAAAAGTAACCAAGACATTTAGTAAGCCTTGTTTTGTGACCCTATCATGTAATCAATTTGTTTTGAAGAATGTTTTGTATGCACTCAAGAATTTTTTTAAAGAATGGAAGAAGGAATTTAAGAGTAGAATTTTTGCAAGAATAATACCTAAGCAGGTACACATTCAAGATGAGAAATAGAGAAAAATCTGAAGACAGTAAATAGTAATGTTAAATAGTATGAACCACATCTTATAAAACATAGATTTAAAGAATATTTGACAAACATATTTACATTTCTGTACTTCTGTATTAGAAGACACATTTTCTCCTATATTAGTTTTGTGATAAGAATTTGATGTGTAAGAGAACTCTTTTTTTGTTTTGTTTTTTTTGTTTTTTTTGTTTTTTCTCCAGTACCGGGAACCGAACTCACGACCTTGCGCGTGCCAGGCAGGCGCTTTTGCCGCTGAGCTAAACCCCCAGCCCCAAGAGAACTCTTTTGACTTTGAGCAGGAATTAATTTTGGAGATCTACCTAGAGGGTAGGATGTTTTTGCCCCATATATTTTCCCAAGACCCTTCTCAAAGCCCTCATGACCTCCTTATTCCTGAGACTATAAATGAGTGGGTTCAGGGCTGGGGTGACAATTGTGTAGAAAGCAGAGGTGATGTTGTCCTGTTTGGGACTGTGGAAGGAACCGGGTAGGACGTACATGAGTGTAGCTGCTCCATAAAACATACCTACCACAGTGAGGTGGGAAGAGCAAGTGACAAGAGCTTTCTTCCTCCCATCCTTTGAGGGCATCTGTAGCACAGTGAAGAGAATTAATGTGTAGGAGGCAACTATGACAACAAGAGGGGGAATCAGGAAGGTTACACCCATCACATAAACCATGAGCTTATATCTGGAGGTGTCTGCACAGGCCAGCTTCAGCAAGGGTAAAATCTCACACAGCAGGTGTCTGATCTTCCGGGCTTTGCAGAAGGGATAGTGCATGGTATATACAGTATATCCCAGGGCACTGAGGGATGCCAGGATCCAGGATGAGGCCACCATGAACCAGCAGACTCTAGGTCTCATGAAGATCATGTAGTTCAGAGGGTGACAAATGGCCACATACCTGTCATAGGCCATGAAGGCCAGTAGGAGGTCCTCTGCACCCCCCAGTGTCAGTGCCAGGAACATCTGCAGGGCACAGCCTCCAAAGGAGATGCTGTTTTCTCTGTGCAGGAAATCCATGAGGGCCTTAGGAGTGACAACCGATGTGAACAGGAGGTCCATGAGAGACAGCTGCCCAAGCAGGAGGTACATGGGCACGTGGAGCCGGACATCCACTGTGATGACCAGGAGCAGCAGGCCATTGCCGACCAGTGCCAACATGTACAGGGCTGTGATTGTGGCACAGAGCAGTTCAGGAGACCCACTGTCCTTCAGGATCCCCACCAAGATGAAGCTACTTCCTAAGGTGGAGTTGAGCTCCATTCTGTATGGTTTCTTTAGCTGCCTGGAACCAGATGGATTCTCAGTAAAGATGTTAATTTTCTTACATAAGAAGCCCCTAGAATACCCAATATTGAATCCATGAGGTGTTATATTTTATATTAGAAATTGAGTTCTTTTTTTGATTTCTGCCTCTTAATTTATCTTAATAAAAATTCATCTAAATTTAATTGATACAAGAGTAATAGCTAAACATTAAGAGATCACTACATGAAATTTTACTGAGGACATTAAACCTGAACAACTGTATATCCAGAAAGATGAAATCAAATCTTTGTTAATGTTAAAGAAGCATTCTGACATACATGTACTTGTCTAATCTTTTAGCAATAAGGTAATGTCAGAATGATATTTTAAATAGCCAGTTAGTATTCTGTGTAAACCGGTTTTCAAAGGACATGCCAAACTGGCACAGAAATATGAGTTATCTAAAACAATTCCATTTCTTTTTCCATTTGCCCTAAATCTACATTTGTTTGTGGCATTCAAAGCTATGGACACAAGCCTCATTAGAAGCACTTGAGTTTGTTTGTTTCCCTTGGTCATCCCTGTATTCTCCATGAACCTGAGAGAGAGGGTTCTGGAGTTTCTAAAACTAGACCATGTTGTGTTTCAGGTGTTGCTTTTAGAGCTAAACTTTTAGGCTGCTAAACATGATTTTAAACACAGTATGATACAAGGGGTGCCCAGAAGATCTCAGAAATATAATAGAAAAATCCACGTCTTAAGGATGAGGGTTTGTTTGGGAGAAATGATGCAAAGCAGCTAAAGAACACCTACAGCATGTCATAATCAGGACTGGTAACCTTATCTTTTCTGCCTTTGACCCAGATATTCACTCTTCCTTCTGGAATTCCAGAGCATTTGTGTTCCATTCCTGCGAGAAGGACCATAGGGATTTGGAAGAAGCACTTGCTTTGTGGAAATCACCTGATATTACAGGGTTCCCAGCCCCACGCAGAAGCCAACAGAGGCAAGAGCCTAAGACTGATAGGAGACAGTATCAGGAATCGTGGAATGGGACAGATGAAGCAAGCCCAGAGCATGCAGTTAAAGATTAGAAAATTAAACATTCTTTCATAACAATTTTATCTATATCAAGGAACATAGATTTTAACATTTCATTGCTTTCCGTGGGCCTCTTATATGGCACTTTGGGGCATTCATCATCTGATAGGTACAAAAACACATTGTCAGAGATTAGCACACTACACAGATTCTAAAGACAAGTAGGGGCTAGGCATGGTGGCACATGCCTGTAATCCCAGCACTTGGGAGGCTGAGGCAGGAAGATTGTTTTGAGTTTAAGACTAGCCTGGGCTACAAAGTGAGCTCAACACCAGCCTGAACTGCATAGTGAGACTCTGTCTCAAAAAGGAAAAAAAAAAATAAAGGCAAGTATTGAGAGCTTGGCCATGAAGCAGATACTTATCTGTCAGTCATAGTTGGTTCACTCTTTGTGTTAAGAAAATAAAAAATACAGAAACAGAGGAGGGCAATAGAACCCAAACACTAGAGAAATAAGCAGACAGAGTAGTAGGGGATGTTTTTAAGTTTGGCTTTGGACTTTATTTTTTGACTCAACCACACCCAGACTCTACACATTTCCCTGAAAGAGAATCAAAGTCCTTACCTTAAGTGGTCAGAATTGTAGCTGCCCAACCACAGACTTCTCTTATTTAAAGGTTGTTTGAAGATTAAGGCTATTCCTGTAAAAATAAGGAAGATGTAGGTTTTTAAAAATTGCGTTCCCTGTGTGATTTTTTCTAAGTTGGTTGTCTCAAGATCTTTCAATTCTTTCCATTAATGTGCAGGTCTTCTCTGGAGATGGCAGTGGATACAGACAGCTAACACAGTCTTTGGGTAGTTTACAATGCAGCAAGAGGGAGGCTTTAATGTTCTCACACCTGAGAAGAATTAGTATCAACTGCTTCTGCCTTAGGTTCACATGGAGGGATCCCCTGTAGCCTGTGACAGTTATCAGACTGAGTTCTTGGGTCCAGATGCCAGATCCTTGTTTATTCTCACTAGCATGTGGGAGTGAAGGTGAAAGCAACAAGATTCTGGAGGAAGTAGATACTGGAAGAGCTGCCCAAAGGAGGCACTGATGCTTGGCCACACTGCCTGGAGCCAGCTTCTTGTCCCACAGGAGGATACTCTGACTTCTGATCTGTGACCTTTTCTCTTTTCTCTGTCCTACAGACTATTTTCAGAGAGACTTATCTGATCACTGAAATCTAAATTCCTGGCTCCCCTGGAAATATAGGTCGAGGGAATAGGTTGTTAATGAATCCTCTGGGGCATGTTCTCTGGCCTGGTATTTCTGTGCTGTTCTCTCACCAAATGAGCTCCATGGGGCTGTAGGTTTCTATTTGACTTTGAAAGAGATGCTGATGGCCATTTATAAAGTGCTTACTGAGAGCCAGTCATGGTGCTGCACACCATCACCTAGGACGCTGAGGCATGAGGACCACCACCAGTTTAAGGTTAGCCTGGGCTACATAGTGAGTTCAAGGCTAGCCTGGTTACACAGTCAGACTCTGTCTCAGTTATACCCCAATAAAGTAAATTGCTTACTAAATAGATCAGGAAGGAAGGCTCCTGGGTGTTCATTTCCCCTGCCTCTGAGCATTTGCTGGATTTCCTGGCTTACTGTAGGATGCTTCTTCCATTCTTCATGGAGGTTTCAGGCTGGACAATTTCCAGCTCAATATGACTGCTCTGGGTGAAGTCTTTAAACAGGAGATCTTCCCTTCTTTGACTTCTGGCAACCCTTCTTTGACTTCTGGACAATTTCCAGCTCAATATGACTGCTCTGGGTGAAGTCTTTCAATAGGAGATCTTCCCTTCTTTGACTTCTGGCAACCCTGTGCACTTTTGCAGGTCGTGTTGCTAGAAGTTGCTACTGGGATGTGATGGAAACCTTAAGAGGCAGGGCCAAGTGGAAGGTCCTTTGACTCTTGGGAGAATGTCCTTGGAAAGGACTATGCCACCCTGGCCATGTACAGTTCATGCATGGGCACATGCCTTGGTGTTACTATTGTCTGCTACCACAGATGCTCAAAGAGAGAATTTAGATTTTCAAATACTGGGCAGAAGATTAAAAATGAACTTGCAAAATATTTAAATTTTAGAATGTGAATGTTCATTTAAATCCTCAGAATTCTCCCAGAGATAAAAGACAGTTTACCCACTAAGTAAACATATCTAGAGGGCAGTGGACTAAGAATGCCAGTAATAGGACAGGGGAGGAATATCCTCATGGTTTATAAAAAATTTCCATACAATTATCTGTAGAAAAGTTGAGCTCATAGAAGTAGAGTGGTTTCCAAGGACCAGTGGAAGGGGATGGGGTGGTGGTGGAGATGTCAATCATAGGACTCATTTTTCCAGTTAGAGAGGAGGAGTAATTCAACACACATAAAGTATAATACACTCACTACAGTTAATATTGATGAATTGTTTTCTTGAAAAGTGCTTAGAGTGCAAATTTTAATGTTCTCATACAAAGTGATAAATATGTGAGGTGTGGTAAATATTAATTAGCTCAATTTAGCTGTTCCACAATGTGTACAGATATCAACATATCATGAAGAAAACAACAAATATATACAACTTTTATCTTTTATTTTACAAAAATTCAGGAATTTAGTATAAAAAAAGAGAGATTGAGACCTTGCAATTGCTTCATTTTGATTTCTGTTGAGTATCCCTTTGTTAATATTTATCCACTTCACTGTTGGTAGACATAAAGATTGTTCCCAGTTTTTGTCTAAAGGGAACAGTACATATTCTACTGATGTAAAATCTCCTGTTATAGTTCGCATGTTAAATATCCTCTGAATGTGCACTTTTGCAGGTCGTGTTGCTAGAAGGTGCTACTGGGATGTGATGGAAACCTTAAGAGGTGGGGCCCAGTGGGAGGTCCTTTGACTCTTGGGAGAATGTCCTTGGAAAGGACTGTGCCACCCTGGCTTCTCTCTCTTTTACTTCCTGTCATGAATAAACAGTTTTCCTCTGTCAGATCCCTGCCCACTCAAGTCATTGCCATCTAATAGGTGCACTGGAGGCCTAAATCAAGTTTTCCCCCAATCTTGGACTACAACCTCCAAATTAACCCCTTTCTTTTTCTAAGGTAATTTTTCAGGTATTTCATTATTGATAGGTTTTTCCAGTGCAGAGAGAAGTAAAACAGAATAAAATGCCTTTATTGGGGACGCGGAAAGGCCACAGGAAAGAGAAAAACGTGGCCTCCACCGATCTCTCGTGGGGTCCAAGGTTAAATAGCCCCAGGCTGGAGGCGGGGTTTAGGAGGCCCACTGCCTGACATGGCAGACTAGGATTGGGTGGGAGAACGGGAAAAGGGAACAGGATATTACAAAAAGGGAAGTAGGAAGTTGTAATTTGACTTAGTGGAAGAAGGGTGGGGCTTAGCACATGACCTTTAGTGGCCAGCGCCATATTAGCTGGTTGCCATGGTGACTCAGCACCATACCACATGGCCTGCAGCGCCATACTGGCTCGGGTGCCATAGCAACTCAGCAAGAATTACAGCAGGGCAAGAAACCAATCAATTATGTTGACAGATATCTTGGATATATCTTGGAGATATTCTAATAGTCAAGAAAACAAAAACTTATTTTTAATGATTTTTTTAAGGGTTATGAGTGCATATGCATAGTACACAGTGTTCACATTCCTTCTGGGAAGATGGTACGTGTACATAATGCATCATAATCCTGCTTTTTATCCCCTTTCCCTTCACTACCTCCCTCCCTCCCTGCATTCATTGCTGACCTTCCTTTTTTTGGTGCATGTTTACAGTTCATGATGTTTACATTTTTGTGTGGAGTTGGTACATGAACGTGAATCATCCTAATTCCTCTTTTTATCCCTCATCCTTTCCTTCCCTCCCCTCTCTCTCCATCTCTTCATCCTTTCCCCTTTGAGAATGATCCATATCTCGACTTCCTATTGTTATA